TCCATCTTAAATAAATGACACCACCTAGTTCTCTTTCTTTTTTTACATTTTACATTCATTCACTGTACATCATTGCAGCATAGAAAATGAATTTTCCCATCCAGAAAAGAAGTAAAATATATAAGAAAAATGGAAAAATTATCTCTTGAAGACCACCTTGTTTGTTTGTTTTAATTTGTTTTTTAGAGAGAGATATTTTTGCTATCAGGCTCATGTGCTCACCAGAGATACAGAGAAAGAGACGGAGAGACAAAAAAACAAGAAATAACACCCAGGGGGGATGGCCACACCACAGTCCCTTCTCCGTTCTCCTCTAAGGATCTTGGGCATGCACGCACATGTGACTGGCATGAGTTTTAAGCCACTAGGTCTGGGACTAGAACAGCAGTTGACTACATAGGAATTCAACGATATAACCATTATGTCATCTGCTGGTCCCTACCATTTAGTTTTTAAAACCCCAAACTTAAGAATCAATCCTTGATATTTCCCTTTCCCTCATCTCTCTATATTCAATCAATTCTCTCTCCCAAATGCCTCTCGAAATTGTTTCTTCTCTACTGCCACTGCTACTGTCTTATGTCAAGTTACACTTTTTTCTTGACGAGGTTAGCCAGATAGTCTTTTATCCCTTCTATCTGAATCAATCCTGGATCCTATAAAATCCAGTTTTCACATAACAACCAAAATCATTCAAATGTAAGTCCAATTATATCAACCCTCTCCTATCCTCCTATTCTCTTCTATCCTACTACATAGAAGTTTTCCATGTCTCACTTTGTCTATAGGATAAATTCCAGCCTCAGGGCATGTAAATCTCTCCATGCCCTATCTGCCCATTCCTACTCATTTTTAAAGCCTAAATTTAAGTCTCATCTTCTTTTCTAGGTAACTTTTTTCTTTTTTTGACGTTTCAGAGGAAAGTGAGTATTCATACCCTGTTTTCCCATTGCTACTTGTAGAGTTAGGACCCTTTGTCTTTGAATGAAATACTCTGTGCATATATCTGAATTTTCTGTTTTGATCACCAAATATGAAACCCTTTGGATGTATGAAATCATATTTGGTTTATTTCTTCATTTCCCACCGTAGGTCTAGTATAGGGCTTCATTATCTGGTAAAGGCTCAAAAACTATTGGCAGAATTGTGATTCACTCACAACTAACCATCCTGATCCAATCTATTTTCTCCATTGTTATATCTGGTTGAGTTATGGAGGGAAGGAAGGAAAATCTTGCCTCCTAGGGTATCACTTTCTAGCTGAATTTCCTAGTTTTGCTGACATTTCTTATTATTAACACTGTCACCCCGCACTAAGGAACCTGAATCTGAATCCCTTTTCCCTCATTGTTTTTATGTTTCAGTTGTATACCACTCAGGCCAATATAATGTCTTCCCTGAATTTCTGTTCTTCTCCATTCACTGGCCCAGGGACACATCAGATTTCATCTTGGGATAAAATACCATCTTCTTTGTGAGGTTCAAGGTTAGAAAGTCAAAGATGTGAGGATCCATAGAAAGAACTGAAAATGATGGCTGTTAATTTTTATGTTAATTTTTTAATCACTGAAATAATTTTTAAAGTGATTTACAGTGTAGAATATAAATAAGCATAAAGAAATTTAGGAGAAAAATAGAGAGGCAAGACATCTATTGGACACAGAAATGGATGATTAACTGTCAATGATAACATGTATAGTATCCTCAAGTGGACTGGTGTAAACTGTATTCATGTTGGGAAAATTCACTTCACAAGCTAAGTGATGTATAGTGATTGGATGTATAAAATGAATGCGAAGAGTTTTAAAAGAAAAGTAAACATAAAGGTGAAAGAGGTTTATCTGAAGAAAGTATGAGACACTCTCCTCTCCTTCTTTATGGCACTTCTTCAGAAACTTAGTGATAATCTAAAAGATTAGATTAATTAAACATTATATTAATTGAACCTGGTCTTTTCATAGATGGGGAAAATAGTGTCTTCAAGGGGAAGCAACATCCTATTAATCATTCAGCTAGTTAGTGGCACAGGCAAAATTAGAATTCAAGTTTCCCGATGGGGCCAGCAGGTGGCATGGTGGTTAAAGTGCTTGATACGCCCACACTGACACTACTGTTTGAGTCCCAGACCTGGTGGCTTGCTTTCTCACTTTTCTTCTCTCTCTCTGGTCAAATTTAAATAAATAAATAAATAAGAATTAAATAATTCTTAAAAAAATTCAGCTTTCCTGAATCATAACCCCAGAATATTATCTATCATCACATGCCATTAGGCCCCTTTCATATTGTGTGATGCTTAACACAGTTGTGAGAATGGGGAAAAGATGGATAGCAGTTGACAAATCTATATCCTTGGTAAGCAAAAGTGCCCTCACCCTCCAAATAGCCCCAGAAAACCTATGTACAGTTCTAAAAGCATCACCATTCATTATTTCTTTATGCAAACTGGTGGATCTCAAAGGATATTAAAATGATTTAGTAATAGAGAGTCCTTAGGGTCTGAATTGGCCACATGAAACAAAGGTGTTTTCATGGGTACTGGCAGATGGTGTAATGGTTATATCACTGGACTCCCACGTAGTTGAAAGCAGTTTGAGTCCCAGA